TCATCATCACCATCATCATCATCATCATCATCGTCATCGTCATCATCATCAACATCATCGTCATCATCATCATCATCATCATCATCATCATCATCATCGTCATCATCATCGTCATCGTCAACGTCACCGTCACCGTCGTCGCGCCTGTTCACCGACGGCGCCTCTCTTGACGACGCGTGCCCCCAATGGTCTCGCTCGCTGCTCAGGGCCCACCATCTCAGCCTGCGTCGCTCTGATGGCGGCCCAGCCGTCCGGAAACGGCTTCCAGGACCCCGAGTAGTTTTGAAACGTGACGATCTTTCTGCGGCCCCGTGGTTTTGAGGGGTAGTCGACCATCGGCGACCGTTTGAAGCAGCAGCAACTCACGGAAGCTTTTGCTCGTCCCAGTGGCGCCCAGTAGCGCGTCCGAGAGCGCGCCAAGCAAGCCTGATGCATCTCCCTGACGCGGTGCCATGGGGCGCTCCAGGGAGCCATCCGTGCGCTACGTGTTGCGCCACTGCGAGCGATTGAGCGCTGTTGGACGCCATTCGCCGATGTACACCACTAGAACTATCGCGCACTTCGCGCGCGCTCAAGTTCTAGCTAGCTTCTTGGGGCCTCCTCGGAGCGTCCTGGACTACTTCTTGAAGTCGTCATGAGACCTTCTTGGCATGTCTTCGGGGGCCTCTTAGAACGAATTTTGAAGCCTTTTGGGTGCCGTCTTGGGGGCTGAACGGAAGCCTCTGCGACTTCAGATCTGATTCTCAACCGCTGACTGCGAAGGGTCGTCAATCCCGCACGAACGGGGACATGACTGCTCTTCGCGCGGGTTTATTGACGGATTGGGACCCCCAACCATCCTGGGAAAAGAATTGTCGGCCGACAGCTGATGAGGTGGGAAACCAAACGATACCCATACCGATACTCCCCAGACCTCTCCTGGGGTGCGTTCTGACCAGAATTTCGAGGCGAATCGAGCGATGGCGACGAGGGCCTCCAAGGAGGCGCAACAAGAAAGGAAAACCAGGGAAGGATCTGAATGAAGGGGGAGGGGTCGCCAGCAGCAGGAACGACCCCTCTGAGGTTTCTGTATGAGGGCAAAAAACACACCAGAACAACAACCACGAGAAGCGAAGCCGTTGAGCAAACGCACCCAAGGAAGGAATCGAATAGGACAGGGCTGTTTCGTAAACACCCAAGGCCGTTTACTAAACGCCGATAATCTGGTCGGAGTGTTTTGTCTTCCCTTGATTCTGGCAGCGGGGCCCGGCATCATACGCGGAGGCCCAGAGCTCCTGGAGCGGGAGAGCGAGGGGGAGGGTCTGGCTCTCCCTCGCACACTGTTTGAATGAACATGCGTTGCCAGGGACGAGTTGCTCGCGCACAGGTCCAGGAGGCATTTTCGACACATCTTTCGCAGAGGACAGTAAAGACAGATGTATTGTGAGGGAGCGCCTCGAGCTTTCCCCAGGATGGAAGCACGTGGGAGCGTCTGGGAGCGTGACAGGACACGCAGAGTGCACCGGGAGTGCGAGCCGTGGGTTGTCCGTTGGGCATGACCGTTGGCGTCGCCCCCGCTAAAGCGATTGCATTGTCGACACAGCCGCCTTCGGCGCGAATTTCGCATGGCTGGAGGGGGAGCGCGAGGGGGTGGGTCTGGCACCCCCTGGCTACGATGCGCGCGCATGGCTGCGGCAGCACCTGCATGGCGGGGGAGCGCCGGGAAGCGCCGCCAGGGAGCGCTGCCGAGTGCTTGCGAATGCATGGAAACGCTTGGGAGCGCCATGGGACCGCTTGGATTGCTTAAACGCGCTTGGGAGCGCCGCGGAGCGCTTGGGAGCACCTGTGGGAGCTTGGGAGCGCCTGGGGGCGCATGGGAACGCCTGGGAGCGCTGGGGAGCGTGCTGGGAGCCTGCCGGGAGCGCCTGGGAGCGTGCCGGAGCGCTTGGGAGTGCGTGGGAGCGCCCCGGAGCGCTCGGATGCGCCAGGGAGCGCTTGGGAGCGCGCAGGGAGCGCCTGAGCATGCGGGGAGAGCCTGGGAGCGTGACCCTCGTGCTGTGCTGTGCTAGCTGTGCTGAGCTGTGCTGTGCTGAGCTAAGCTGTGCTGTGATGAGCTCTGCTGCGCTGTGTGAGAAGGAGAAGGAGGAGGAGGGGAGCTGAGTGAGGGTCGCGGGTGCGACACGGCAGGGATGAAAACCAGAACCCCACGAAACATGCGGGAAAAAACAATGATGTGTGCCGTCTCGCCTTTTCGCTTCTGATGGCCGTCCGAGGCTTCAAGACAGCTCCCAAAGGGCCCCTGAAGGCCCCAAGAGAGGCCCAAGACAGCCCCAAGACGGCCCCAAGAGCGCCCAAGAGCGCTCCAAGAGCGCCCCAAGAGCGCCCCAAGAGGTGCCCAAGAGGCGATTTGCGGGGCTACTGCGGGGAGGGGCGTAATTGAAGCTCCCCCCTTCTTGATCGGTCTCCTCCAAAAGATGGCCCCAAGAGTGCTGCCAAGACTCCCAAGAGCGCCTGAAGAGGGCCCCAAGAGGCGCCCAGGAGGCCCCAAGAGGCGCCCAGGTGGCCTCCAAAAGGCTCCGAAGAGACAACCAAGAGGCCCCAAGAGGCTCCCCGGGGCACACAAGACGCTCCAAGAGGCCCCCAGAACCTCCAAGAGGTCACCCAAAACGTCCCAAGAGGCCTTCAAAAAGCCTCCAAGAAACATCCGAAGAGACTCTGAGAGGCAACTCGCCTGGGCATCGTTTCTGGATGGACTGATGGGGATACGTGAAGCGTCAAGCATGTGGATGTCGCCTTAGGGCCACGCAGATCCAATGCAAAAATTCGCAACCGTTTCACGGATGGAGGGCGGGTGGTTTTCAAAATGTGGCTCTAGTTATAGCGCCGCGCACATTCAGCTTCAAATGCCCCAGCTGGTTCACTGATGGAGGGCGGGTCGTTTTCAAAATGTGGCGCTCGCCTTAACGCCAGGCACATTCGTGTTCAAAGTTTGCAGCAGTTTCAGGGGTTCGTACGGTTGAGGTCCCAGGAATAGTGGTCTGGCACGGTTTATGATCTTCAGGACGCAACTGTCACGTTGATCCGCGGTGCTGAGATCCCAGGAATGGTGTTTTGAAACGAATGAGAACTCTCAAACGATTGTCATCCCATGTGACATTCCCACAATGTAACCCAATTGTTGTTGGGACCTCTCGAAAGGAAACTTGAAAGCAGGGGATATTGCAACATCGTTGATGCGCCTTGCGTTTAGACTGGTCCTCCTCTTCCGTCTCCGTTTGTCTCCGTCTCCGTCTCCGTTTCCTCCTCCACCTGTTCCTCCTCCTCCTCCTCCTGCTCCTCCTCTTCCTCCTCTTCCGCCACCTCCTCCTACTCTTCCTCCTCCTCCTCTTCCTCATGTTCCTCCTCCTCCTCCTCATCATCCTCCTCCTCCGCTTCCTCCTCTTCCTCCTACTCCTCTTCCTCCTCCTCCTCCTCCTCTTCCTCCTCCTCCTTTTCCTCCTCCTCCTCCTCCTCCTCCTCCTCCTCCTCCTCATCCTTCTCGTCCTTCGCCTCATCCTCTCCCTTCCTCCCCCCAAGTGTCGCCCTCAGGGTTTCCACAACGGATGGCGGAGCACATAATCCAATAGCTTGGCCAAGCTCGGGCTCAACCTTTGGCCACACTGGCCCCACGGGCAGGGGGTGGCGGTGAGTCGCCGCAGGCGTCTTCGATAAAAAGGCTCTCCAGTGGCTCGATGTCTTACCCACGCCACCCCCCCAGGCTCTCGGAGAGCTGGGGCAGGAGCAAGGGCGCTGGAGTGAGGATGCGGATTACATGCGCGGGGGGGGCGAGACTAGCGCGCCTCGTCGGCGGCGAACACGGGGGGGAAGCGAGAAATGGCGAGCCCGAAGACACAGAAAACTTCTCAAAGGTCGGGGGGAGTTATGAAAAGCCCCGGCCGTTATGAGAAAGCCCCGGGTATGTGGCCTGTTCCTTTCCAGTTTCCCCCCTCGCTCGCCGCCGACATTACCGTTGCCACGTCGTACAGCACATGAGTGCGAATGCATCGTCGCAGGATATACCGTAGGCAAGTACGCAGACACGCATGCATCTGTTGCCGCGCCCCACGGCTGGCACGGCTCGAATCTAGAATCGTTCGGCACGCCCTGGGGCTGGGCAGAAAGGAGAACTGCACAGTCCCAGCTTGGAAGCTCATTCGTATCATCCTGCCTCCAAATGTCGGGCGCACGACGGCCTGGACTTGCGTCCGCCACGCATACCTGGGGCCACCGAGTGTGTGCGATGGAGCGAAAGGCCCAGCTCGTTCAATACACACGAATTCGCTGAGCACCCCGCTCACCGGTAGCTGGGTTGCGCTGGCAACCGCAGCGTTGGCTGTGCACCGAAGCCGGGATCCGTGGATCTGGCGCGTGGGCGCCAGACCCACAGATCGGGGAAGGCCCACTGGAAGCACGAGGCAAGCGCCGCCGGACCTGGCGACGGGGCGCGCCGACTCTGCAGGGAAACGGGGCCCGCCTTGGGGCCGGCCAGGGGGTCCGAGCTGGAGCAGCCCAAGGAAGTCCGCTACGAGGGGGGACATGATGGCAGAAGTCCGCTCGGAATCCGTCCCCGGACCCCTGCCAGAATCGGGACTCGCCCCTTGTTCGCGCAGCGTGCCGCCGTGGCGACGAGGAAGCCCCTCTCTTGCCCCCACTTTTCCGCAGGCCGGGACCGGTGCTGGGCCAGCTCAGACCCCCAGGTTCAGGTTGGGTATGTCCTCCTACAGGCGGATTGTCGAAGAAAAATATTATTTCATGATTTGTACCTCTATATAATAAGCAACCTACAAAATCAAAGAGCACGAAAAATCGTCACGAGCTTGTTCGACTTAACGGCCTTAACGGCTTAACCGCTCGCCTTAACGGAGGGCCGTTACCGGCGGGCCGGCCCCAAGGCCCGTCGCTGCTCCATGCGCCGTGACCTACGCTGGCGCCCCCTCGACAAGCGACGGGAGGGCGGGGAGGGGCGCGCGCGAACCGCCCGCCTGCGGCGCCGCCGGTTCAGCGCGGGCGCCACCATGGCCCTGCATAACCCCCACAGCAGCAGCGGCGGCAGCAGCGGGAGGAGGAGACATCTCGCCCTGCACTTCCTCACGGTCCGCCATTTCCTCCTGCCCTCCATCCTCTCCCTCCACCTGCCCCTCCCCCTCCCCCCTCCCAGCTCCCCCCTCTCATCCTCCTCCTCATCCTCTTCCTCCTCCTCCTCCTCCTCCTCCTCCTCCTCCTCCTCCTCCTCCTCATTTAATAGTATTGCTTGTATGATTCATAACAAAAAATATTACCATTCCTACGGCTCATATTATTATCTGGTATTCGCATTAGTGTGTTGTTTCTCTTTTCTGAGAACTACGATTATGCTTATAGTTACTAGTATGATTATTCGTATGAGTATGTATGTTATGCATAACATTAAGATTACGAACCGTATGTTATTACGCATGTGCTTAGTAGTAGCATTAGTAATGTGAGTTGTCGTGTGTTGAATACCCTTAGTATTGTTACTGTTATCGTATTAGTGTTAGTATATGTATCGTTATTCCTCCTAATATTATTATGGTTACGGCCATGTGTAACACGAGTAATAGTAGTATGAGTATTCGTCTTATTGCTAGTACTATTGGTTTGTCCTCTTCTTCTTCTTCTGAACAATATTATTACATTAACGCTAGTAGTTGTATGATCAATAGTGTAATAATATTGGTAATCGTCTTATTCTTATGATGAGTATGAAGTGTCGTCTTTATACGAATACCTTAGTTATGCGAAATGTTCGTCATTCGATGGTTGCTCATGATAGTCTTACTATGATTAGTAGTATCAGTAATATTCTCTGTAATATTGTATAATTCGTCTGCTTACGCTTAGAATACGTAGTATCATTATTATGTGCAGTACTAGTAATATTCGTAGTATCCTTATTATTAAGTGACCTGTTCTTACTAGCATGTTCTTAGTGATCATGTTGTTATCCGTGGCACTAGTATTGTTAGTCTTAGTCTCCTTCTTATCTTGATCTTCATCGATGGTAATATCATTGGTCGTATTAGTCTTCTTATTGCACTTAGTATTACTAGTCTGAGTGGTACAGTAGTTATTCTTTACAGTCGTAGCATTAAGATGATATTCCTCTTATTAATACTTGTCGTATTGTTGATACTATGTGTGTTAGTACGTGTATTAGTGTGTCTTCTGATTCGTAACCTGAATGTTGATCTCATTTGTACTTGTAGTGCTGCGCTTATTCCTCTTATTATGTGGGAGGTGTGTTCTTACGATTCCTGTCATTATCATCAGTATTGTTACTAATAGTATTATTGTTCTCATTGTTCTATTGCTCGTTCTCCTCCGCCTTCTCCTCCTCCTGCTCCTGCTGCTACTCCTCCTCCTCCTCCTCTTCCTGCTCCTCCTCCTCCGTTCTAAATGAGATTGCAAGGAACAAACGACTTCGGCCAAGCGCAAGCAGCAAATTACGCCTGGCTGGCGCACATTGTCAACGCAGTACAGCTTAGCGAACCCGACGAGCGAGAGGAGAGAACGAGATACACATGCAACCGTAGCTAAGCATACTTTTGTTGTGCCTGGACTAGCTTGATATCCCGGGCTGAAAGTAGAAAATTCGAAACACACGTTCCCTTATCTGTCCAGGCACGCAGCTACAAGTGAAGGAGTAGCTTTAAAAAACAATAGCAACGCTGGCGACGTAAGGAATCAGCTAAGCCTGGTGGTACAATGATGATCCCGCCAACCGACCCTACCATATCTAACGCCCCATCCTCCTTCATTTAACCCGGCAAGCTGTAAGGAGCAAGATCGGGAAAGAATTTGAGAAAGGGTGAAATGGATCGACTTCTCGATTGTAGGTAGATGCCGGTGCAAGTTATAGCACCTCTTGGGTTGCAGCCCAGGGTTTTGCGGTTCATCCGAAACCTCCTTAGTCCCTGGACCCTCGTCTGTTTGTAGGTTCGTTTCGGGTTAAGCACGAACCCTGAATGACAAGAAGAAAAACTGACTAGGTAAGGCTGGACTGGTAGGCTGGCCTGTAAATCAAAGTAACTACTGGTAATAAATCCTCCTCCTCCTCCTCCTCCCCCCCGTCCATTGGGCTGGAGTCGGCAGTGGCCGGCCGACGCGCTTCTCGGGCCCCCTTCCTCGCCTCGCCCTCGCCCCGCGATGACGCCTGCGATGGAGGTACAACTGGCGGCGGCTGCGGCCGTCAGGGCCATCGGTGCCGCGACTGCTGCTGGCATGGGTGGCAAGGCGCAGCATGCGGTGGTTGCGGCCGCTGTGCGAGGCGCGGCCAGTGGCCGGCAAGGCGATAGATCCCATCCAGCATGTCCAGGAGGCCCTGGGCGAAGCTGGGGGTCACCGACATCATGCACGACGTCGAGGTGCTCGCAGACGCTGGGGAGAAGAGACTGGAGGGCCTCGGATGCGCGAAGTGCGCATGCCCACCCCGACACCCGTGAGGCCAAGTGCCAGAGAAAGATGGGGAATCAGATTGAGCACCACGCAATTGCACCCGATCCTGCCGCTGTGGGCGCTGGGCAATGGCTCGGCTTCACCACCGGGGAGAAGGCTAGCACTGCCAGGGACGGGGAGGAGCAGCGCGAGTACCACGCCAAGATGTGCAGCCTGGAGAAGGACGGACCAGTCCACGAGCAGGGCGAGAAGGTGCACGCCCTGCAGCTGGCAGCGTCCAATCTGAGGGAGAGCCACCAGGTATGCGTGGGGCATCTCGGCGCGCAGCGCGCAGGGCCTGAAGGAGCAGCCCCTGGAGCTGGAGGTGTCCCACCGGGAAGAGCAGCTGCAACGAGCGCGGGCGGCAGCGCGCCGCACGGGGCGTGGAGGCCACGGCCCTGCAGCACGAGGTGCCCAATCCCGAGATGAGCGGCCCTCCTCCTCCTCCTCCTCCTCCTCCTCCTCCTCCTCCTCCTCCTCCTCCTCCTCCTCCTCCTCCTCCTCCTCTGTCCCAACTTCAAGCTGGGTGGACCGCAGCAGCTGCGGCCGCTGGCGGAGCAGGACGACCAGCTGGCCGAGCTCAAGGCTGGCAAGCAGCACCTGGAGGAGAAGCTGCCGCCCTCGAGGGTCAGTCGGAGGTGCTGCTGCGGCAGAGGGCGAGGCTCCAGGAAATCGTGCAGAATCCCGCAGGCTGCGACCTTATGATGTCGGCGTCGTAGACGACGGGAAGGCCACGAGTAAGCCCTTCGCCTGCGCCGCTGACGGTCAGCGTGGAGGCCAAGGTCCTCACGCCGCTCGTGAATGGCGGGTTGGGGGGGGGGGGACCTACCGCTTGCCCGCCCTCCTAACCGCGGCCCCAGCTTTTCGGGTGGGGGGCGCGTTTGGGGGTCCTGGCCTGGGTCGCCCAAAAGGAGCGAATTGGGGCACGAAGGCAAAGGAGAACAGAGCGCGAGGCGGGGAAAGGCTGGAGCCCGCTCAGCCCATGAACGCCGACGCAGGACCCGTAGACATCACACCTCGGCGAACACGCCGATGCAGGATTACGATTACCAATACCATTACCATTATCATTACTATTACCATTCCCATGAGAATGACGATGACCACGACCATGACCATTACCATGACCATGACCATGACCATGACCATTACCATGATCATTACCATTCCCATTGCCATTGACGGTACAAATACCATTATCATTACCATTACCATTACCAGTACCAGTACCAGTGACAGTACCAGTACCAGTACCAGTACCAGTACCAGTACCAGTACCAGTAGTACCATTACCATCACCATTACCATTACCAATACCATTACCATTACCATTACCATTACCATTACCATTACCATTACCATTACCATTACCATTACCATTACCATTACCATTACCATTTACCATTACCATTACCATTACCATTACCATTACCATTACCATTACCATTACCATTACCATTACCATTACCATTACCATTACCATTACCATTACCATTACCATTACCATTACCATTACCATTACCATTACCATTACCATTACCATTACCATTACCATTACCATTACCATTACCATTACCATTACCTCCTCCTCCTCATACTCCTGTTCCTCCCTTTGATCCTCATGCTCCTCCTCCTCCTGCTCACCCTCCTCATCCTCCTCCTCCTGCTCCTCCTCTTGACCCTCCTGGGCCTCCCTATCCTCCTCGTCCTCCTCCTCCTCCTCATCCACCTCCTCCTCCTGCTCCTCCTCCTCCTCCTCGTCCTCCTGCTACTGCTCCTGCTCCTGCTCCTCCTCCTCCTCCTCATCCTCCTCCTCCTCGACTTGCTCCTCTTCCTCCGCCTGCTCCTCCTCATCGTCCTCCTCCTCCCCCTCCGTCTCCTGTTTCGCCTCCTCCTCCTCGTCCTCCTCCTCCTCCAAGTCGCCCTTTTCCTGTTCTCTTCCTCATCCTCGATCTCCTCCTCCTCCTCCTCCTCCTCCTCCTCCTCCTCCTCCTCCTCCTCCTCCTCCTCCTCCTCCTCCTCCTCCTCCTCCTCCTCCTCCTCCCCTCCCCCCTCCCTCCTCCTCATCCTCCTCCCCTTATCCTCCTCCTCCTCCGCCTCCTCCTCCTCCTCCTCCTCCTCCTCCTCCTCCTCCTCAGTCTCCTCATCCTTATCCTCCTCCTCCTCGTCCGCCTCCTACATCTCCTGTTCCTCGTCCGCCTCCTCCTCGTCCGCCTCCTCCTCCTTTTCATCCATCTCCTGCTCCTCCTCCTGCTCTTCCTCATTCTCCTTCTCCAAGTCGTCAGTGTCCTTTGATCTTCCTCATCCTCCATCTCCTCCTCCTCCTCCTCCTCCTCCTCCGCCTCCTCCTCCTCACTGCCACAACCATCAACATCAACAGCATCATCATCATCGGCATCATCATCATCATCATCATCATCATCATCATCATCATCATCATCATCATCATCATCATCATCATCATCATCATCATCATCATCATCATCATCATCAGCATCATCATCATCATCATCATCATCATCATCATCATCATCATCATCATCATCGCCATCGTCGTCGTCGTCATCAGCATCAGCATCAGCATCAGCATCATCATCATCCTCATCACCATCATCATCATCATCATCATCATCATCATCAGCAGCATCATCATCAGCATCATCATCATCAGCAGCAGCAGCATCAGCATCATCCTCATCAGAACCATCAGCACCATCATCAGCATCATCATCATCATATTCATCAGCATCATCAACAACATCATCATCAGATTCGTCGTCTTCACCGCCATCGTCATCGACATCAGTATCGTCAGCAGCATCATCATCGAAATCAGCATCATCATCATCAGCATCATCATCATCATCAGCATCATCATCATCATCATCATCATCATCATCATCATCATCGTCATCGTCATCGCCATCGCAATCGCAATCGGCATCGTCGTCATCGCCTTCACCGCCGCCACCGTCGCAGTCAGCAGCAGCAACATAACAGTCTTCAGCAGCAGCAGCAACATCACTCCCCCCCTCCTCCATCTCTGTTTCCTCCACCTTCACCTGCTCCTCATCATCCTCAACATAATCATAGTCATAATGATAATCATAATCATCGTCATCATCATCATCAGCATCGATCCATCATCATAATCATAAGCATACGATTAATCATCAGCATCATCATCAGCATCATCATCAGCAGCATCAGCAGCATCATCATCAGCAGCATCATCCTCAGCAGCATCATCAGCATCATCAGAAGCATCATCATCAGCATCATCAGCATCATCAGCATCATCATCAGCATCAGCAGCATGATCAGCATCATCAGCATCATCAGCATCATCAGCATCGTCATCAGCATTAGCAGCATCAGCATCAGCATCAGCATCAAGATCAGCATCAGCATCAGCATCAGCATAATCATCAACCTCGTCAGCATCATCATTAGCAGCATCATCATCAGCATCATCGTTAGCGTCATCATCGCGAGCCACATCACCATCATGGTGATCATAATCAGAATCAGCATCATCAGCATCATCACAGTCACCATAACCATCACAATGACCAGCATCACCAGTATCACCATCATAATCAGCTCAGTCTCATCATCAGCACCATTATCAACCATCGTGAACCATCGATCCCCATCATCACCAGCAGCAGCAGCGGAATCAGCATCATCATCAGCTACAGAAGCATTGTTATCATAGTCATCATCATACGCATTATCGTCATCGTCATCGCCATCGTCATCGTCGTCATCATCAGCAGCATCAGCATCAGCATCAAGATCAAGATCAGCATCAGCATGAGCATCAGCATCGTCATCATCATCGTCAGCATCATCATCAGCATCAACGTGCCTCTCCTCCTGCTCCTCCTCCTCCACCCCCTCCTCTCCCTTCCCCCGTACCACTCCTCATCCTCCTCCTCCTCCCCCTCATCCTCCTCCTCATCCCCCTTTCCTCTTCCTCTCGCCCCCATCACGCAACCTGACAAGGGGAAGGAGGAAGAAGGTCGAGGGAGACGACCGAGGCGGCGGTGCCCGCTCCCCTCCCCTCCCCGGGACGAGCACGGCGCCCGCCGCGGCCGCGCCCCTCCAGGCGGATTCCTCCAGAGGCTGTGCGGAGGGGCGTCCCCTGCGTCCCTCTTTGGCCTCCCCTCCCCTTCCCCGTCCCCGTCCTCCCTGGCCCCCCTTCCTCCTCGACCTCCCTCTGCTCTGCCTCGACATTCATCCTTGCATACTTTCCTCTCGCCCTCCTCTTCCTGCTCATCAGCCACCTCATCCAGCATGCCTCCTCATACTTCTCATCCGTCCACCTATCCATCTGGTCACCCGTCCTCCTTCCATCCTCTATTATCCATCCTTGCTTCATTTCCTCTCTCCCTGCCTCCTCCGCCTACTCCTCACCTCCTCCTCCTACTCCGCCTCCTCCTCCTCCTACTCTTCCTCCTCCTCGTCCTCCTACCACTACAACTAGCCCTACAACTATATCGCATGGTTTCTGCAGGGACCTATATATACGCACACTTATATTCTAGATGTAGATACATACGTACATATGTGTATACATGTATGTGTATCTATATATATGCTTCCCCATCCACCCACCCACCCCCCGTATCATAAGTTGTGTGTTGTGCTCGAGGATTCCCACTCCTTTCATTTTCCGCCGTCCCCTCACCCGCGCCCAATTACCCGTCCGCATGGTTATGATTAATCTCCACCGCAATATCCTCATCAGTCTCCCACCCTCCTCCACCCCCACGTCCTCCTCCTCCTCATCCTCCTCTCCCTGGTTCCATCGCTCCTCCTCATCATCAGCAGAATCAGCATCAGAAGCATCATCATCACTGATATAAGCATCATCAGCATCCTCATCATCATCATCCTCATCATCATGATCATCATCATCATCAGCGTCGTTATCAGCGTCATCATCACCCTATCGAACCTCATCCATCTCGTCCCCCTTCCACTTCTTACCATTCCTATGCGAAGACAGGAGAGGGTAACGGCATAAGGAGCAGAAGAGGCACGGGGAAGTGGAGGAGGACGACAACGAGGAGCAGGAGCAGATGTAGTGCGGAGTGAGGAATAGGGAGCGCCACCCTCCACCGCAGTCGCCACCACCTCGCTCAAGCAAAGCGGTGGCGGCGTAAGGCTAACAATGGTACTGGTGGATGTGGCGGCGGTAGCCGTATTCGCAGTAGCAGTAGTAATTGCAGCAGCAGCAGCAGAAGCAGCAGCAGCAGCAGTTGTAGTAGTAGTACTAGTAGTAGTAGCCACAGTAGTAGTAGTGGTAGTAGTGGAGGTGTTAGTAGCAGTGGCAGAAGTAGTAGTAGTAGTAGTAGTAGTAGTAGTAGTAGTAGTAGTAGTAGTAGTAGTAGTAGTAGTAGTAGTAGTAGTAGTAGTAGTAGTAGTAGTAGTAGTAGTAGTAGTAGTAGTAGTAGTAGTAGTAGTAGTAGTAGTAGTAGTAGTAGTAGTAGTAGTAGTAGTAGTAGTAGTAGTAGTAGTAGTAGTAGTAGTAGTGGTAGTAGTAGTAGTAGTAGTATAGTAGTAGTAGTAGTAGTAGTAGTAGTATGTAGTAGTAGTATAGTAGTGTAGGTAGTAGTAGTCAGTAGCCGTAGTAGTAGTAGTAGTATAGTAGTAGTAGTAGGTAGTAGTAGTAGTAGTAGTAGTAGTAGTAGTAGTAGTAGTAGTAGTAGTAGTAGGTAGTGTAGTAGTCCAGTAGTAGTAGTAGTATTAGTAAGTAGTTAGTAGTAGTGTGGTAGTAGTAGTAGTAGTAGTTAGTAGTAGTAGTAAGTAGTAGTAGTAGTAGTAGTAGTAGTAGTAGTAGTAGTAGTAGTAGTCCCCCCAGTAAGTAGTAGTAGTAGTAGTAGTAGCTGCGGTAGTAGTAGTAGTAGTAGTAGTAGTAGTAAGTAGTAGTAGTAGTAGTAGTAGTAGTAGCGGCCAGCCTTTCACCCACCCTTCCTTTTCTCGTGCCCTTACCGTTACGCACACTCTTCCTTGCCCTGAAGGGAGGTCCCGGGATGGCGGCGGCCGCTGGCGGCGCTGCGGACGCAGGTGCAGGGGCTCGAGTGGCTGGGAGTAACGACGCGGCGGCCCGAGGTGAAGGCGGTGCGCTGGCAGCCGCAGCGGGCAGCGGAGGTGCCGGGGCCGCCCCGTGCGCCTCCGCTGCCGCACTCGCATCGGCCGATGCAAGCGTCCAGAAGTCCCAGTGGACGGCGGCACCGACGTCCACATGCGGGACAGTGAAGGTCAGCCGGCGCAGCGACGGCGCCGCATGACGGGAGGACGTATCACTCGCTGGTGCGTCAGCGCCCAGGCGACCCGCGGCAAGCAAGCCCACTGCACCCGCTGCATGGGAGGCTTCGAGGCGGGCGAGCGGCGTGTGGCAGGCGTCGTGACGCGCCCCGTGGGCTCCCAGGCGCACGCGGGCAAGAAGTGGTTCCACATGACCTGCGTGGATGGCCCCTTGCCACCAGCGACGGCGATGGAGGGCTACACGCAGCTCCCCGAGGGCGACAGGGAACGCCTCACAGCTGCTCTGGAGGCCCGAGGCGGCCCCATCTTGCCCCTGCTGGAGACGGTCGAAGGCCAGGTGCCCACTCCCCCCTTCTCAGGGAGACGGCGCGGCAGGGGGTGCCGGGGTCGCCCCGAGGCCCCTTGCCGCCGCCGCGCCAGGAGCGTATGGCCCAGGCTCCCGTGGGGCTCCCCCGGTGGCAGCCGAGGCGGAGGCGCCGTCTCTCGCGAACATCCTACAGCCGTCCCTTGACGCCCCTGCGGCCGCGGACGACGGCGGTGGGCTCGAAGCAGGCGTCTACGATGACTACCTGGACGACCAGGTGTCTGACGAAGATGCGTACCATGAGATTCAGTTTGTCAACCTGGATTGGTGGGACACCATCGGGTGGGACCGCATCCTGCTGCAGGGCGCGCCCACCACGGCCATGATCCCTGACAGCATGTCCGCCGCGGTTAGCAACGTGAAGGCGCGGCTGTGCCCGGCGATCGAGCAGGCCCGCCAGGGCGGTGACGGCCTGGCGTCGCGCACGCTGACGCGTTTGTGGAAGGTGTTCTTGGCTCTGGACGGGCTGCTCTTCAGCGAGAGCGCGACCCCGACCCCGACGACGCGGCGAGAACGCCTCCAGGAGCGTTTGCAGTGGATCCAGGACGGCCAGTGGGATGTCGCCTGGCTCTCCATGACGCGCACCTCGGTCACCACGAAGGGCCGCGAAGACCACGTCGCGGCCCGCGTTCGCCGTGTCACTGAGCTCGCGCGAGCGGGCGAAATGTCTCGGGCGGCAGCGGCAGTGTGGCCCCAGGGTGATACGGCGGATGCGGCGGCGGTGGTTCGGAAGTTTAGCACCACCCAGCAGCCTGCGGCGCACCACCCAGGCGAATGGGGCCCTCCCCCTGGCACTGGGGCCGCCCCGCATGGGCCAGGGGGGGGACCCCCCGCGGCGGGGGCCGACGTGGCGACGCCGCCAGCCACGCCCCCTCACGAGCTCCTTGGCGCGGCAGAGCTACACCACCGCGTGGCCAACCACCTGAAGCGCCAATTTGGTCGCTTCCCCCGCCGTGGCGGTGCGGGGCCTGGAGGCGGCCGCTACGAGCACTGGGCTCCGCTCAAGCACGACGAAGACGGAGCGGAGGCGGTAGCCAACACGCTGGCGCGCCTGGCCATCGGTGACCTTCCTCCCGAAGCTCTAGCCGCCCTGACCGCGGCGCGCCTCGCAGGCATCCCCAAGGCCACCCCTGGGGACGTGCGAGTCCTGGGCTGTGGGAATGTCACCCGCCGCATGGTTGGCCGCAGCGCGGCCAAGGTCCATCACGCGGACATGCGGGCGGCGGTGGGGGACCAACAGTTCGGCCTGGCTAAGGACGGCTGCGGCGCCCTCCATCGACGCCTCTGTACGATGGCCAATTCGGGCCCCGGCAAGTGGGTGGTGGCGGTGGACCTCGGGGATGCGTTCAGCAACATCCCCCGTGACCTCGTTAAGGAGGCCGTGCGCTCCAAGGTGCCCGCCCTGGCGCCGCTAGCGGAGGCCTGGCTCCCTGCTCGCACACGCCACGCGGCGGGTGGTGGGTCCCAACCTGCCCAGCTGGTCGATCAGATCCGCGGCCTCGACCAGGGCTGCCCTATGAGCCCTGGCTTCTACGCGGTCGGCACTGCGGATGACCTCAGCATCGGCCGCACGGCCGTGCGCGCAGTGGACGTCGAGGGGGACTGCCTGGCGTTCTTCGACGACACGTACTTCGTGGGCACCGCGGCTGCTGTGTTCCGCGGCTTGGATGCCTGGCGAGCCCGCATCGAAGCCCACGGGATGACGCTGAAGATGTCCAAGACCCAGATCTGGTCCCCGGACCCTCACGCTGTCCTGCCGCCGGAGTTCGCGGAGCACACCCAGTACCGCGTCCCGAAGCTCAAGGCGGTGGGGTCTACTCTGGCCGACACAAACCACGACGTGGATGCTGACTGGCGGGACGTCCCGCTCACGGACTTTGCCGCCCCGGAGGACCTCGACGCGGGCGGCCTCGCGCCGGCTGACGTCAAAGGACACCTACGTCCACATCCAGCGCGCGCTTCCGTTCACGGCGGCGCGGGGCCGCCGGGTGGATGACGGAGCGGTCGCCTTCGTCGACGCCCTTCTGGGGGTCACGGCCGCCCCCCGAGAGCAGATCTTCATGAAGGTCAGCGACGGAGGTTTGGGCTGTGGCGGCGCTGAACAGCGCGGCCCCGCTGCCCTCCTGGCGTCTTGGGAAGCCGGGATCCGCGCGGCTGCCCGGGAGCTCCGCGAGACGACAGCGGTTGGTTTCTGGCGGCGGTGGTCGGGCCTTGGCCGCGCCCTCTCGGCGGCGGACGCGGAGCAGGGACGGTCGACGGGAGGCCGTCGCCCCCAGGGTGACCGCTGGCAGGGCCTTTTGGAAGGGCGGAAGGGCAAGGACCAGAAGACGTACACCCAGCATGTACGGGACCACGCCACCAAGACGTTCTTGGCCGCGCTGCCGGCGTCGGCGGCGACGGCGGCGCAAAGTGCCTCGGGCAGCTCAGCGGGCGCCTGGTTGGATAACTTCGAGGGGGTCTCGCCCCTCGCCGACCACGC